GCTAGCCCGTAGGAGCTGGCCGAGCCGCTAGGTTGATCCAAAGACTATGAATCCTGTTAAACCCCGGCGTGCGAGCATTGTGTTTGCAAGTGGTGAACAGTCCGATAGGGCCCAGCGGTGCGTGCAAATTGGGGCTCGACCCCGCCTGGCTTGCGGCACTCCCACGTTTCTGAAGTCCTTCAAGCGCCTTCTCTCAGGCACTTGGGCCGACCCTCACTAGCTTCGTTGCCTGCCCATGTCCACAAGTTGCTGATGGAAGCCCCATAAACAGTGCGTGACGAATATGTAACCATCTTGAATCTTGGCCGCTTCCAAATGCTCTGTCGCAACACCGGTCACTGGTTTGTTTGTCTCGGCCTGACTCTTGTCACACTGACATTGTTGCTGTCTCGTTGGTCTCATTTCCTCGCCCCCTCGTTCATTTTTCCCTCCCAAACCTCGTTCCCGACTCCCCATGGAACTCTTCCCTCTATGGGTTGTTCTTTGTTTTGTCTGGGCAATGTCTTATTTGTGGCGTCGTCTCCTTCGAAAGAATTCTTCAAAGTGTTTTTTGCAGGGTTTGTTAAGCATGGTTATATGTTTTCATCTTGACTTACCGCTCTTAGTTTTCGTTATTAACATAGTATTAACCCTAAACCCTAAACCAAGCGATCAGGTCCTCAAAACCCACAAACATAAGCACAGCGCTTGAAATCCTGATAAGAGCTGTGAAGAAACGTTTAGATAGCTTCCTGGGCTTTGGGTCCTCACCTTCCTTGGCCGCGGAGGCTCATGATGATCACGATGTCAATGATCACAATGTTACGGCAGTTGCCGCGGCCTTATGAAATGACGCACTACTAGCAGCAGGATACAGGACTGTCCACATGAGATGTACAGCGGCGGTTGGGGTTGCGAGCTTTCCCAGGCACATGCTGAAGTTCCATCGGGCTCCACCGCCTCTCCTTTTGGAGGCCAGAGAATCCTGTGCGTGCATATCGGCATAAGTAGGACTGTTGATTCGCCCTGACTGATTATGGCCATGGTCCCCCAGAGTTGTTCAACACATTTGTCAGCGGGCCAATAGATGTTGGCATGACCCCTAAACCCTAATCCCTATAGATCCTATATACCCTAAGGGGGTTTAAGGTTGTCAAAAAGGTGTAAAGGGCGTCAAGCTGCTGGAGGCCCTGCGCGCACTCCTCCTTGAACTCTACAACCCCTACTACGACTTACCATCCTAAACCGACACCCTGCCTGGCCACGGCGACAACTAGAATCCTGCAAATTTCAAGAGTCTGTTTTATGGCACCATCCATCTACGACGTCAAGCATCGCGCAGGTCTGATCGTGTTGGGAGGTGGGGCATCATCTTCGCAGGAGGCGCGATTGTGTTGAGTCAGGTTTCAGCTGGCTGTAGCCCGCATCGCACACGTTTCCGCAGGAACCTTGGCAGGCCAACGAATGGCCTAGCGAAGCAGGGACCTCACTTGCATACCCTTTTGATCAGGTGTAGCTCTGAAGGTTGAATGACCATTGATACTTCTGATCTCATTGTTGCTGATGGAAGCCCCATAAACATTGCGTGACGAATATGTAACCATCTTGAATTTTGGCCGCTTCCAAGTGCTCTTTCGCAACACCGGTCACAGGTTTGTTTGTCTCGGCATGTCTCGGCCTGACTCTTGTCACACTGACATTGTTGCTGTCTCGTTGGTCTCATATCCTCGCCCCTCGTTCATTTTTCCCTCCCAAACCTCGTTCCCGACTCCCCATGGAACTCTTCCCTCTATGGGTTGTTCTTTGTTTTGTCTGGGCTATGTCTTATGTGTAGCGTCGTCTCCTTCGAATGAATTCTTGAAAGTATGTTTTTTGCAGGGTTTGTTAAGCATGGTTATATGTTTTCATCTTGACTTACCGCTTTTAGTTTTCGTTATTAACATAGTATTAACCCTAAACCCTAAACCAAGCGATCAGGTCCTCAAAACCCACAAACATAAGCACAGCGCTTGAAATCCTGATAAGAGCTGTCAAGAAACGTTTAGATAGCTTCCTGGGCTTTGGGTCCTCACCTTCCTTGGCCGCGGAGGCTCATGATGATCACAATGTCAATGATCACAATGTTACGGCAGTTGCCGCGGCCTTATGAAATGACGTACTACTAGCAGCAGGATACAGGACTGTCCACATGAGATGTACAGCGGCGGTTGGGGTTGCGAGCTTTCCCAGGCACATGCTGAAGTTCCATCGGGCTCCACCGCCTCTCCTTTTGCAGGCCAGAGAATCCTCTGCGTGCATAACGGCATAAGTAGGACTGTTGATTCGCACTGACTGATTATGGCCATCGTCCCCCAGAGTTGTTCAACACATTTGTCAGCGGGCCAATAGATGTTGGCATGATCCCTAAACCCTAATCCCTATAGATCCTATAGACCCTAAAGGGGTTTAAGGTTGTCAAAAAGGTGTAAAGGGCGTCAAGCTGCTGGAGGCCCTGCGCGCACTCCTCCTTGAACTCTACAACCCCTACTACGACTTACCATCCTAAACCGACACCCTGCCTGGCCACGGCGACAACTAGAATCCTGCAAATTTCAAGAGTCTGTTTATGGCACCATCCATCTACGACGTCAAGCATCGCGCAGGTCTGATCGTGTTGGGAGGTGGGGCATCATCTTCGCAGGAGGCGCGATTGTGTTGAGTCAGGTTTCAGCTGGCTGTAGCCCGCATCGCACACGTTTCCGCAGGAACCTTGGCAGGCCAACGAATGGCCTAGCGAAGCAGGGACCTCACTTGCATACTCTTTTGATCAGGTGTGGCTCTGAAGGTTGAATGACCATTGATGCTTCTGATCTTATTGTTGCTAATGGAAGCCCCATAAACGTTGCGTGACGGATATGTAACCATCTTGAATCTTGGCCGCTTCCAAATGCTCTGTCGCAACACCGGTCACTGGTTTGTTTGTCTCGGCCTGACTCTTGTCACACTGACATTGTTGCTGTCTCGTTGGTCTCATATCCTCGCCCCTCGTTCATTTTTCCCTCCCAAACCTCGTTCCCGACTCCCCATGGAACTCTTCCCTCTATGGGTTGTTCTTTGTTTTGTCTGGGCTATGTCTTATGTGTAGCGTCGTCTCCTTCGAATGAATTCTTGAAAGTATGTTTTTTGCAGGGTTTGTTAAGCATGGTTATATGTTTTCATCTTGACTTACCACTCTCTGCGAGTGTTGCTTGGTTCAACATGTATACATTGTCAGAACTGGCACGATGGATATTTATTGTGCAGCCTGTCTTAGCCTCTCTTCGATATCGGATGACGTCGTTGACACTGTGTATATTCTGCATGGTCTCCAGTTGAGAGCAAGAACGGAAAGCCCCCTCTTGTAGCTGAAGCCGTCATTCCATGTGAACGGTCGTCGAAGAATTGTCCATCCGGATGACTGCTTTATATGCAACAACTTGAGCTATGTTACCAACTGTGGACATTGAACCACGGGCCTGCTATGCAGACCGTGAGGGGATATGCTTCCGTCGTGTTCAGCTCCGTTTTAACCCCACCCTATGGGAACGCCGCGCGTCAACTTTCCAAGACTCCGGTAACCAGACGTTGCAAGGCTGCGGCCGTCAACGTATTCGATGTTGCTGAGGAGGCCTATCGTCAACAACAGACCTCGAGGTTACATGACTTTGCGCATTTGCGATGTCTGTGCGGAGTTAGCTTCGATGGACTGTGACTAGAGTGACTGGAAAGCACTTGTGGAGGCTGAATGCACGAAATCCTGATTAACTTAAACGGTCTCTTGCAAGCCAAACCAGCCCCTAAGATGACCCCACCTCCCATCATGCGTATTCTCATCTCAACTCAAGCCCCGTTTGCTAGACCCACCTGTGGCCCCGCGTGCGATATGAACCGCCCTAAAGCCACAAGCGCTTGAGCAAGGCAAGCCTAGATCTGCTGGCAAAAGATAGATGTGTGTTGGATGCTGTTGCCCACTTCTGTTTGTTGAAGGCCTTGGAGGAAGACCGCCTGCCACCCAGTCTAGACAAGTGGCGAATACCTGGTGTCGGCAAGATCCAGATCAAAGAGCCCTAAGCACATGATCCTGACATCCAAAACGGTCGCACGCAGGCCTCTTGGCGGAGGCAATCCAATTGTCGCTCAATGCTCTGTGCTCAGCAAGTGGTCAAGACCAAACGGATCAGGATTGCAAAACACGGATTTCGGTGCCGTGCGGGTGTGGGAAGCAAGTCTATCAGGCAAAAGTGTGGATATGTAAAGACGTGTTGAGAAAGGAGCGTGCTTCTCTTCATTCAGAAGCAGCCGAGGAGGATGATGACGATGATGGCTCCTCGCAGTCTTGATCGATTGCGATCGTGACTGAAGTTTGACTCTTGGTGCTGCAACGAGCACTCCCGGCTGGAAGAACTGCAGGCGAATGAAAAATGTGAAATGAAAGCATGTCTATTCAGTGTATCTGTGTGTGCATGTGTCACTTTGTAGGTTTTCGTAGTTATTTTTTCATTGCGTGATACGGTGGCCATTCCGAGCTGCTCTTTGCTCGGCGGTATTGGCGCGAGCTCTGCTCGTACTTACCCCAACGGAGCGACACGGTCCATAGCAACCCAGCAACCTTCAACGAGACTTCAGCTGTAAATCAACACAAGTAACGTACCGATACCGAACATGATAGTACTCAGACGCGAGCCGAATGGCCTTGATGACCCTCATGGCGCACACTGTGTCAGACCTACAGACTGTGGCACGATTAGCATTCAGCTACCGCAAATCCAGTCAGCCCATTCAGAAACGGTCGGGACTTCAACTCGTGTGCACAGCTGTAGACATACGGAATATTAGTATCAAGGCTCACGCGGTTCACAGTCCGGTCTAGGAGTATTTTGATAGCAAAGTCGTTACAGGCGTGGCCGTAGCAGTAGCAACCATGCCCAAAACACTTGGGATTTACAAGCATTCGTGCCTTTGCGAACAGCCTGACACTGAGTTTGTCCTCTGTATGCACAGCCATGGGTGGAGTCTGCGTCGGGCTTTGCACTGGCCTCCGCGAGGCTCCCGATTCGTGGGGTCCGGGAAGGGTGTCCCCACGTTTGGGGAAGAGCTGTGCGGAACTCCTCAACTTGAGCTCAGGCTGCAGTCCCTTCAGGAGAGTAGCATCATTCAGAAAACGCCGGCCACCGTCGAAAATAGTATCAGAAAACATGGCAGCCCATTTCGGCCTCGCCCGAAAACACGTCGGGCACTTTCAGAAAACACGAGAGCCTCACACGGACAACGACTTGTTGCCAGGATTTGCCAGGTTGTACTCCTCGGCATACTATAACACCTTGTAGATTACTGTAGCGTATACCGTATACCTCAATCACCATGGACCATAAACACCACTCCACAAGCTTAAATTCTCTCCCCTCATGCACGTACCCCGCATCTTGACTTTCACAACCACCCAGAGGCACGTATCAAGTGTTGACTTTCAATACCAGCGCAGATGTATGTGCTGAGTGTTGACCTCATAACCACCTCTGATCCACATACCGAGCGTTGACTTTCACAACCACCCAAATCCAAGTACCGAGTGTTGATTTTCGAAACCACAGACGCGTGTACTGTAGCGAGTGTTGAGTGTCACAAGCACTCTGAGACGAACGCGCTCCGTGTTGACTTTCACAAACACTTTTGAGCGTTGACCGAGTTTGCAGCAACTGCTACTCGTGAGGATTATTCCCTCCTCCAGGCCTTCAACATATAAAACATAAAACGTGGCTATATATAAGAAACGTAGGACGCGTCAAGTTGACCTCCGCAGTTTTTTTGGGCGTCCAGACCATTGCAGGGCCCGACCCTTGCCTCCCAGACCTTTAGGTACCTTATTCCCCTCCAAGACTTCTCCAAGCCACAACCTTTCCAGTTCTTCACGTCGCTTCCCAACTGGAGGTGTCGTCCCGGCCACAAACCGTCGAAGCAGTTTCCACGGGGTCATCCACATTGCAGACTGGTACGCAACTCTGTGCTCTGTGCGATTTGACTGGTGTGAGCTATGTCGATGATGTTTCGGCCAGGGCCAATGAGCAGCTTCGTCTCCAGGGTAGACCACTACTAGCTGAGGTGGAGGGACGGCCCCAGTTCCGCCCCGATGCACTGCACCTGAGCCCGACCACGTTACTTAAGTGGCCTTATAAACTGCTCACTGGGCAGCAGCAAAACAGCGTTTGGCTGGGTCCGCTCTTCCCGAACTGCAGCGGCAGCCTGCGGCAACGGTTGCCTCTTCAACGTCGAAGTCGACCCAGGCGAGCACTGGGATCTTTCTGCACTTGAAGACCACCCTGCTGTGCTGTCAAGCTTGCAAAAAGAGCTGAAGCTGATGAACTCCAAGACCTTCAGGGCAGACTTTGGCCAGGAGCAGGTGCAAGCTTGCGTGCAGTCGTTCCAGATGGGCGGCTTTCTAGGGCCTTTCGTAGATGCAGATGACTTCTACACAACTCAGCAAGTCCCCGGAGTCGAGGAGGTGGAGACGTATAGACAGGAGCCACGCAAGTTTTCAAACATCTGTTGGAAAAGAGCACCCTGAGAAAAAAATAGACCCTCAAACAACATCACGTCAGTTCTTGGTTCTCAGGTAACTCCTAAGCACTAAAGCCAGAGCAGGAGCTGATGATCGACTTCACAGAGCCACCTATTGAGGCAGCTGGACCTGAAGATCTTGGCTGCTCTTACTTGTGAGCTTCGTGCCATAGCGGTGGCAGTACCTACCCGTGTGCGCGACTCTTTCATGCAGTTTGACGCAGCGTGCGTTTTAGTTGGATGTGATTGGATCGCTGATCGAAAAGATGCCTACTTGCAACCGAATCAGTTTCTTGCGTGGCGGGCGGCTAAGTGAGGTTGAAGTAAATTGCAGAGTTGCTGGGCCTAGGATTTACTTCAACCCCGCTGGGGGAATGTGATTAGACGATTTTGGATCATGTTTCGGAACGAGTTGGTGAAGTCGTGTCCGTGTCGCAGGTGTTCGTAGTTTGCTTCCTGTCGGATCGATCACTGAGTGTGCATCTGCGGGCATATCAGGTGCCGGATCGAAAAAGTTCATGGCCCATGGCATTTAAGAGGATGTGGATTGTTGTCCGACATCGCCACAAGCACGGATGGGCTACAGGCTACAGATATTCATCTGATATTCTTGTCGAGGATAAAAGTAGTCCTCATCCTGGTTCCATGGGCACGGGGAGTTTTCCAAGCCTCAAGCAGACGTCGGGCACTCGGAATTCCAAACCACCGAAAAGTTTGCCACTGCTGAATCACGTTTTGCGAAGGTGGAGGTGTGCACCGCGAACGGAGAGGCACGTAGACTCCACAACAGTCAACAGTCGTGGTGTATGTGAAGGCTGTCAAGCGGAAGTTGCAGTTAGGTTTGAGTTTGAGGCTTAGGGTTTCGGTTGTACGTCTGCGGGTTGAGGGCCTGCGGTTCGGTGCGGGTCTGGGATTCAATTCTTCATGGCTTGAGTGTTTTAGGCTTTCGGCTGCGTGCCTACTCTCCCGAGGTTCTGAAGCCCAAATCCCAGAGCCATTTCCTTAGGTTTCGGGGTTCAGTCCCCGAACAAGCTCGAGGGGGGCTGCCATTGGAGTGTGCATTCAAAAGGAATCGGCATGCGAACCCCTAACCGTGTGGAGCCAGGCAGGAGCAGTGCGGGAAGCTCAGAGGCACAGTTGTTCTATGGCTTCGCTCCAAGTCGAGGCGGGGCGTTGTGTCATTGCATCATCGGCAACATCGTTTCCTTCCATGAGTGTCATGATTTGATTTGCCGAGGTGGAACGGCAACTTGGCCGAGCCCGAATGGAGATAAATGCACTTGCGGAGGATTGCGTTTGTGCATGTCCGTCGTCGTCGCATCGAGTGGTTCTTGCAGGACATCGACAAGTTCTGGGTCCAGCCACCGAGGCTGGTATTTGTGCGAGTGATTGCCAGCAAACGAAGACATCGTCGCCGTGGGTTTGCTAGTCTGAGTCTGTTTACCTCGATTACAGCAGCGTTTGTATGCTGAAGTTCGCTGAAGGGACATGCCGACGGACATAGTCGTGGACGATGCAAGGCCGCACTTGTGCATGTTTAGCCAGCATGACGGTATTCAGCGCACGTCGCAACAGTGTCACAAGTCGTTCAGGATCCATGAAGGGAACCTCACGGGGTCTTCCTTATAGGCAAAAGGTTGCGGTTAACAGTGTGATCCAGGCCAGTCCGGAACAAGATGGCAGGAAGCTCTTGATGACTCTTGCTGTTCGGCCAGGTGCTGCATCAACAAGGCCTCTCGTCGGTGAGACATGTCGGATTTCGCGCTGTGGCTCAAACCTTTCCCGACCCCGAAGCTCCGATCCGAACAGGACAGGGACACTTCCTCGACATTGAGAGCCTGGCGATGTTGAAATCTCGGCGGGTGGACCTAGCTCCAGGGCTTCGGCCCTGGAGCCTAGTGGCGAGGCAAAAGGAGGTGGGGTCGATGTGTCTTGGCTTCTGTGGCCCGTGTCAAAAAAACAAGCCAGGATTGACGCCACATCCGCCACATGCGGTGTATCTCTGTGCCGGCTTCAGCGCTTACCACAGTGACACACAAACCTTCTCCATACTTCCTGCGGGCAATGTCGGTGGGACTGGCTCGCGCTGGTTCGATTTCTGCACATGCTCCTGCATTCCGACTCGCCACATGCTTGGTCTTGTGCAAGTCAAAGCAATTGGAGTTCCTTCGCAGTCTGACGGCCGAGGCAGGCGGAAGAATTTTCGGGCGCAGGCATAGGTATTCTCGATAACATCGTCCTGGAAGGCAATGGCTTTGGACTGTCGCGACAACATGCGTCATTCGGATTAAACAGATGAGATCGGATGCCAGTCGCTCGCAGGAAGGTCGTGGGCACGTGCTCTGCTGCTGAGCATCTGTCTGCGAGACTGTGGCCCAAGGCGGCAGCTTGTTCCAGCACGGACGGCGCCCAGAGCTACCCGATGCTTTGGCCATGAAGCTGCGCATTGCAGTGTTGGCGCAGATTCTCCCTGCCTGGCTTGCCACACCGTGTTCTCTAGAAAGCCAGCATCTCTAGCAAGGTGGATGTTGGCTGGCAGGAAACGGGCAAGGGTTGGTCCCGTTTCTGCCCCTGTTGGAGGTTTGGCATGGTGCAGTGGCAACACCGGAGTTAAAGATCGACATGCGGAGTTCAAAGGCGGCAACACCTCTCGGCCAGTATTGATCCGACATGCGGAGCTTTAGTTGCGAGCTCCCCGTGAGCTTTTTTCCTTTCTTCTGCATACCCCGAGCAAGGGTTCGGCTCCATGGGGATGATGATCTTTGCTTCTTCGGAGCCGAGGAGCTAGTTCCAGCTGAGGGAGATGTGTTGCCGCTCGCAGCCAGCCTAATGTTCGGCGCAGCATCTTTTGGTCCTGCCGCAACCTTACACTGCTGCTTGTCTGCATCGCCGCCATGAAGCGGAGGGTCGCTGACTCCGTGTTGCTGTGGAGGTGTCAGACTTGGCTGTCTGGGCGAGTTGACAGGGATCTAGGTCGCACCTCTGAGCATCCAGGCTTGGGGATCTTGTGCCTGCGCTCGCATAAACAGGAGAACAGGAAGGCATCCCCGAGGGCCAGAGGGCGCAGCCCTAGTTTCCAAACTGCCAGACTAGCTGTGGCCTCGGCCTGCCCTTGTTGAGTGTATATAAACTCCAAACGAAAGTGCCCCGCTTGACGAGGGATTCTAGTGATTCCAGTGGAACCTGCGGTTTTGGGTCGGCTTTGTCGAAGTATATAGGCTGCGGATGAGTACTTCTCCAATATGCCGGCCTCGCCCGGTGACTCAAGAAGCGGATCTGATCCGAGCACACGGTGCTCAGACACTCAGGCCCAACTCTGCCGACTGCGACATGGACCTTATTCATTCTTCGCACGGGAAGTCTGTGAAGTGTCGCAGCAATCCCACAAAGCAATTGTGTGAGAGGGTCTACGCCTTCATCTCGGCTTTTCTTTGTCGGGGAAGGTCGCTCTTGGGCTTGGCTGCAGCCACGGGGCGGGAAGGATCCCCGTCAAGAGAATTGTGCCAGATTTCGGGGTGCGGTGGGCGCCGCCGCCGCCGCCGAAGCCTTGCGCAAGCCCACTGGCTGGCGCTGGCTCGATTTCTTCAAGCTCTCCTGCATTCCGAAAGGCCCTTTGTTCAGATGGAGAACTCCGCCGGGATGTTCGGCCTGCTTCAGCTGCAGAAGGAAGGGAAGCCAAGCAGCGAAACTTTCGAGTCTTCAGAGCCACCATTTCTTAGCACACCGTGTAGAGATGTTTCTGCAGAATGGTGGGGACGAAGTTGCAAAGCCTCGAGCCTGGCCTCCGACACCGAGGTCCTTCAATCAGAATGCGCCTAGCTGTCCTAGCCTCGCAACAGGGCATGCTCTATCGAACCTCTGGCATCACAGAGAAGTCCGGGATTGGGTGCTTGCCATTTTGTGCTGGGGTCTGCTGCCGGCTTGTTGCTCCCTGTGCTTCTAGCCTTCGGTCGTGGTCGGACGATGTCCGCACTGCAGTGCCACGGCTACCGATGCCGCCGATGCCGGTAGAGCGCCGGGCACGACAGACTTAGTCGACCTAGTTCAGCAGTCAGGCGAGTAGCCCAGGACATGGACACGGAGTGATGGATGCCCTTCCGTCGTGTTGCTTCACAGTCTGACGGCCGAGGGATGGCTGCTAGTCCAGGAAGGTCGTGGGAATGTGCAGAATGTCGACATGCTGTCCTGAGCTGCAGCTGGCCTCCAAATTATGGCTCAAGGCGGCAACTTTTTCCCGCACGAACGGCGCCCAGAGCTACCCGATGCTTTGGCCTTGAAACTGCCCATTGCCATTTTGGCACAGATTCTCCTTGCGTGGCCTGCCACACCGTGTTACCCAGAGCGTCAGCATTGGTAACAAGTTGGATGTTGGAAGGCCAGGCAAGGATGGCAAGGGTTGATCCCGGTTGAGATCCGTTTCTGCCGCTGCTGGAGTTCTTGCATGGGGCAGTGGCATTGGGAGTTCGAAAACGGCAATGCCTTTTGGCCGATGTTGAGCTGTTTGGGGCTTAGGTCCGAGCTCCCCCAGAAAGTTTCCTTGCGACAGTGGACCTACTTCCAGCTGGCGGAGATGCTCTGACGCTCACAGCCAGCCCTCCGTGTGATTTAATGTCAGGCACAACATTTTCTGGTATAGCCGCAACCTCACATTGCCGCTTGTCTGCCGTGAGGCGGAGGTCGCTGACTGCATCTCGCCGCGGAGGTGTCAGAGGTTGCAGCTGCTCGGGACAGCCTGCAAGTTGGGATCTGGGACTGCTGTTCCAGAGGCTGCCCTGCGAGCGGGGTCTGCACGCCAGAGTCTTCCTGCCCACCGCTTAGTCAAACGCGATGCCGAGGTGGGGTCGAGAGTCGAAACCCCGAACCGCCGCGAACGCCCTGCACCCTGCCTGGATGTAGTAGTAGTAGTAGTAGTAGTAGTAGTAGTAGTAGTAGTAGTAGTAGTAGTAGTAGTAGTAGTAGTAGTAGTAGTAGTAGTAGTAGTAGTAGAAAGTTGAACTCACCCTGCCTGGATGTAAGCGTCAAGCAACCGAGATCCAGCCTGCTGCCTGCTGGTCCGACCACCAAAGCTTATGCGCGTGACAAGGCGCTCTTTCACGAGCGTCCCAGCCAGTCCTGGAACGTAGCCACGCCGCTTGGCTCCAGGTTTTCTGCTGGGCAACATGTCACGCACAGCTGGTTCTTGCAGACACGGCTGGTGCCGCTTCGACGATGCAGTTTGCTCTTTCGTGTGGACTGGTGCAGTGTTGTGGCCTTGCGCTTCAGTATGGCCAAATGCGTGTGCCTCCTGCCTAGCAGGAGTCTTGCGCGGGCCTCAAGCTCAACAGACGAGTCTTGCAGACCCCTTCGCCAAGAGACAGCAGACTGACATCTTTATGCGTTTGCACAGTGACTTAGTGATAGTCTTTTGCGGACTCACGGGCAGCCTTCCGTCTGCAGGTCCCTGAACCTTCGCCTTGTGCTGCTGTCACTCGGTGAGATGTTCCGAAGGACTACTGCTAGGGCACTCGAGTCTGCGGCACCCAGGACGAAGGTCGCATGCTGGCGCCGAGAATTCGCAGAATTGCGCCTGCGAAGGCCGAGTGCCCTGCTTCTGTTGATGCTCCCGTCCGCGAGCTCGCCGGGAATTTTCGTCACCGAGATTCAGACTCTCTTGCCCTTGTGCACGTCGCGCGAGCCGCCGTTTCAAAGAAGCTTTCCACGGCCCATGCAGCGCAGACGTGTCTGGGCGCCTCGACGCCAAGTCGGGTCGCTCAGCCGAAGTGCATTCTGTGCAACCGTCGATGGCAGGGCCGAGTCGCGCGGGATGGCCCTAAACTTCCTAAACTCCATCATCTCCCAGCTTCCTTTCCTCGTGAAGGACGAGAATCCGCTCTTTTGGGCGACTTGGCAGACGCCACGCCCGTGAAGCGCAGGAGGTGCAACACCGCAGGAAGGCTGAATCCATTGTGGAGAGGAGGAAAGACGAGTGCGTCTATCCCATGTGCATGATGGGGACCTCCATCAGGATGCAGCGCCAACTTGGGCGAACGCTTAAGCCAGGATGTAGAGAGCCGTCATGTGCATTCTCATCCTTCGCAGGAGTCGTGTTGGCAGTCCCAGGCCGGATGACGTTCTGTAGGCCCATGCCATGTTTGGGCGCGAATAACGACCACAAGTTCCAGGACTAGCCTTAGTTAATGTGGACCTCGTGAAGAGAATCCCGAAGATAGGAGTGGCCAAGTGTAGGAAGGGCGCGATGAGTCTCGGAGCCTTTGCCAGTGTCTCTGCCGTGGTAGCTCGACAGCGCACTCCGGCTGGAGCTAAGCCTCCAAGACCCTAGCTCCAGCCAGGGCGATGCAGGAACAGGCACAAGCTGGCGCTCCAGCGGAGCCTTCTGCACCCACTGGAAATCCTTTTGGAACGTTTACAAAGCTTGCAGGCTCAAAAACGCAGCACGAAGTCCTACTTGTAACAAGCTCTGCCCCACAGAAGCCAGGAGCACGGTGTTGCCTGGGATGGGACAGTGGCAGCTGGCTTTGAGTTGCTTTTCTACAGGCACAGATCTGCCAGGACTGAGGCTCGAAGCAGATTCCGCACTGGCAATCGCCCGTAGCTGCATCTATCAAGGATTGCGAAACCAGGGGTCCTGCTGTGAACAAGGCACATAATATCGGCTGCCTGATTCCGTTATCACTAAATCTTCATGCCTGTGCCAGCTCGTCTTCTGGCAGGCCGAAACCGCCCCTCACCTCCCCGGTTTGGAAGTTTGGGAATGCTGCAAAATGGAAACTCTCGGGCAGGAACCTGCCTTCCTTCTCTGAGAACTCGAACTCTGGAAGCTTTGACCGCAAAGCCTATGTCCGCGGGTGTGCCGGTCTTACCACAGGCAGGCTTGAGGCAGGCGCATGTCAAACCCGCAGCGAAGATCTTGTGTCAAGCTTGGCCGGACGCGGGCGAGTGCGAGTCTCCCCGCATTTGCACGCTTTGCTTCTGGGGTGATGGCCTGGGCCTAGGCTGCGATTGCTCCCTTCTGGCGCGTTGCGGAGAGTGTGCACCCAGAGATCCCGTGACGTCCTGGAGCGAGTTGCGACTTGCGCTTTGCCATGACAGTCGCCTGTACTTGGAGATTTGCGAACTCCAAGCCCCAAACCGTCTCCGGTTGTAATCTGTCGGCGCCCGAGTCCTCGCCTGGTACTTCAGGGTTGCGAGTGTCCAGAAAGCCACGTTGCTAAATTGGAGGTGGGGTCGCGTTTGCGTCGGGATGGGCCTTGCCGCTGAGCTGATGCCTTCAGCTCACCACTCACAGCCGCCTTGAGCTCGGAAGGGATCGTCAAGTATCGGTCTGCTCCAGCGAACTCCTGCTCACGGCGCACCGCAACCTCGGACAGCGTCTCGTCCTTTTTGCGGTGGCCTTCGAACAGGGCTGCCCTGACGACCCTGCGCTTCTCCGACGCGTCCTTCTCACCAGCCAGGCCGTCGAGGATGCCGAGGACCGCATCCAAGTAGCCTGCGCTCGCCAGCGTCGCCTCGGGCACATGCTCGAATTGACTCTGAAGATCCCAGTCCAGTTGCTTGCTCAGCTTCTCGAACCTTCTCCACATTCGCACGTCCGTGTTCTGGTTCCACCGGATCAGGGATTTCTTCGGATGCACACGCAGACTGGCCTGAGTGCAAATTTGTATTGCGGGCCAGCCAGGTGGCAGATCCAGCAGCTCACCAGGAACTTCCAGTGGACTGCTGCCTTTGATTTTCCTTGAGCGAATTTGTTCAGGGCTCAGTCAGAGGGAGAAGACAGACAGAGAGAGAGAGAGAGAGAGATAGATTGCGTGGGCGGCAGAACAGAGATGTTAAGGATCTACAGATCCACCTGCAAGGCTGCCAATGAAGTCACTCTGGGCCACGCCTGAACCGCTGAGAGGATTACCTCAGTTCCTATTGCCGGAAGCTTATTGTCAGAGCAGAGTGCCATGTGCATGCGGCCACAATCTAAGATTGAGGCTCAGCCAAGTGCGGCCATGTGTACAGCACTCTACTAGGGGTGTGGCGACACAATGCATGAAACTCCTTCCAACACGTTAGCGGCACTTGATTTTCATGATCCGTGCTGTCCCCTTGAATTCTACTCTGGCTATGACTACAGTACTGCTTCAAGCGTATACAATGCTAATTCGGCAAAACGGCCTGTGAACACAAGTCTTGGGCGGCACAAGAAGCTCCCATGATATTCTTCCTGAGAAAGATGAATCGAGAAGCGAAACTAACAGACCTGAGGCAGGTAGCCGATTGTGACGAGCGAGGCCGGCCACGGAGGCACGCTTCCTCTAACACTGTAGCATCCACCATTGTCCAAAAGGTGTGTAAGACACAAGTGAAGACTTTTGCACACCCCCAAGACATTGCGATGGTGTTATCGAGTGGGATACAAAGTTGGTCCCGAAGCCACTTTGAGGCCGATTGGGGTAAAACATGCAGAAAAGCCGCAAGAAGCCCAAATTTAAGTAAATTGGAGTAAACAGTTCGGGATATTTAATGCCCCGCCGGTCAGTGTCGACAAGGTGTGTGTCCCTTGACACCGTTCTATTCCCCGAACTATTAATAGTTATTATAATCCCAAAGGGTGTGGAAGTAGGTTCCCCTGGGTTTTGACAGCATTTTTGCTGCGCTCTTGGTAAGACTCATGTAAAAAAGCCAGCTCTTGGTAAGACTCATGTAAAAAAGCCACCTTCCTTTTCGTTCGTTTCAGTCTGTCTCAGATGGTCCGGGCCGTAGTCATCCGAATTATCCTTCTGCCTTTTCGTTCGTTTTCAAACCCGGAATGATAGAAGCGTGCATCGGATTTGCTTTATGGCGAGGTGGCTGAAGCCGTTGCTCTTCGGGCCACGCGCAGCCTCTTTTCGCATCGTCAGGACAGGAGCATAGGTTTGATGTTGCCGCGAGCAGCTTGAAAGGCATTGCCGGGAACCGTTGAGCAATCCCAGGCAAGACTTCCTCCTCAGCTTGCACTTGATTTTGGGGTGCGCTGTTTGTCAAAGACAACAGCCTATGGACAGAATAGACGCTTGTTCCTGACGCATGGAAAATGGCCTTCATATGCTTCATGTTGAAGCTCCCAGCTCGTGTGTTGAACTTTCTTCATGACCGCATCTTCAAAGAACACCCTGTCACTCCAAAATGTATGGCTTGTATGGCTTCTCAGAGCCTTTTGCTCAAAAGGAAGCAGCTAAGCAGGAGGTGCTTGCGCAATGAGATCCCCGACCCCAAATTACATGAAGGCTGGTTGCGATATCGTCAACACATTCACGACTGAGGTGAGCACCTCAGCTTTTTCTGATCATCTTGCAGGATACCGTGGCTGCCAAAGGCAGACGGAGCACAAGCCCCCAGCAGGGCCCGCTTTCCCCAGTCAAAAAGGCTGGGGGCTGGTGTTCGCAACGCCTATTTCCCTTCTATCCGCTTTCCCTTCCTTCCAGGTACGCCGGACAACGCCGCCAAGCGCATTGACTTCTGGGCCATCCTGGTAGCATTCATCGTGTGGCTGCATCTTTTTTGCTTTGATGACTAGCTATTGCTCGAGTTGTGTCCCGTGCGTTCGAGTTTACAGACCAGAACCCTCGAAGGGTCCCCAAGTGAGCCCAGCAACTGAAGGTCAATGAGGGTCCCCCAGTCGACACCCCTTTAGACACGAAAATGCCCGAGGGCCTTTGAAGCTGATGTGAGAGAATGTTCTCTCCAACACGGGTGACGCAACGACAAGATGTAAATTGCAATCAGTAGTGAGCAATCACGTCCGCCTCCTTCCGATGCATACCGTCGGACTTGTGAGATCCATCAGGGCCAAAAATTCAAGCACGTCCCGGCACAACTGTCAACTGCTCAACTGCGACAGCCGATGTGAAAATACACCTTCCAGACTCGTTGCAACGAGGGGCGCCAATTCGTTTTGTTCGACAGGGGCGAGCCAATTGGGGCGGATTGCACTTTTGAATTTGGGGGAACTTCGGGACAAGGGGCAATGCGGGTCGCTCCATGAACACAGTTTACGTGCAATTAGGGTGAGCACCTACAGGGCTGCTTCGCTGAGGCCTTCGGATTCGCCTTGCAATGGCAAGGCGTCTCAAGAAAGCCGCAGCCTCAAAACGGAAGCTCTTCCAAACGCGTTCCATAAGTAGTTTTGGTTTGTGACGACCTGGAAGGAACGCTCGTGAGAACCATCGATGTTTATTCTGACGGCCATGTGCAGGGAGCTCAAGTTGGACATACATGACAGGTGCAACGGAAGGGGGAAATGCCACTGGTGTTTTTTCCCGAGGGTGGTGAAGGACGTTAGCCAACCGGAACCTTCGAGCTCCATCCTCTTGGAGACGGTGCCTTGAGTTGGTTTGCAATTCCATTCGTCATTCGTCTTTTGTTTGTTCTCATTTGTTGCCTTACCTCCTTGAGCCAGTCAGGAGCGACAAGCTTTTGTCGCTTGGAGCCTCGATGCGTTTAGCATCATCAACAGCTTTTGCCACGACCTTGGGTTGCCCAGATTGTTTCGGTGCCGTCTGCATTCAGTAAAGACACTTGCAAGGTAGGAATCCGTCTTCGCAGATCGATGGCACGTACAACCGCAACTGTCTCAGACTTTCAGGTTTCCACGTGCAGAATTTTGGACAGACCCGGTGTCACTGAGGACATACCGTCACGTGGGTGCACAGCTCCATTCAAGAAGGCAAGCCTTGGGGTTCCTTTTCGTCGATGCCTTCTCTTCCACTGGGTGAAGGGTTCGCTCAGCATCGCTTTTTCTTTTGGATCACTTAGCAACGTTTTTGGGGGAACCCATATCTTAAGAAAGAAAGACAGAAAGACAGCAAGACAGAAAGAACGAAAGAAAGAAAGCAAGAAAGAAAGACAGAAAGAAAGAACGAACGAACGAAGGAACGAACGAACGTAAGAGATAGAAATAAAGAAAGAAAGCAAGAAAGAAAGAACGAACGAACGAAGGAACGAACGAACGAGAGAGAGAGAGAGAGAAATGAACAATAAAGCAAGAAATAAATAAATAACGAACGAACGAAAGAGAGAGAAAGAAATAAAGAAAGAAAGAAAGAAAGAACATAAGCACGAGCCCATCAGTCCTCAACCCTAAACCATAAAACAATCCTGAACCCTTAGCCCTAATTCCCAAACCCTAAAACAATCCTAAACCCTATAAACCCTAAACCATTAAAAAAACAAACGATCCTAAACAAACAACCTTCAAACAATCCTAAACCCTAAACCCTAAGCCCTAAACCAATCCTAAACCCGTAACCCTAAAACAATCTTGAACCCTAAACCCTAAAACAACCCTACGCCCTAAACCCTACAACAATTCTAAACCCTAAACCAATCCTGAACCCTAAACCCTAAATCCCAAAACAATCTAAACCCTAAAACCTAAAACAATCCTGGCCCGAAGCTCTAAACCTTGAAACTATCCTAAACCCTAAAACAAACAATCCTGAACCCTAAACCCTAAAACAATATCCAAAACCCTAAGCCTGAAAACAACCCTTAACCCTAAAACCTAAACCCTAAACGCTAACACAAGCCTGAACCCTAAACCCTAGACCGTAGAACAATCCTGAACCTTAAACCCCAAACCATTCCTAAACCCCGAACCCTAAACCCTGACAAAAACTAAACCCTAAACCCCAAAAACAACCCTGAACCTTAAACCCTAAAACCTCAAACAATCCTTAACCCTAAACCCTAAAACATTCCTAAACCCTAAACCCCAAAAAAAGCCCAAACAACTCTTAACCCTAAAATAATCTTAAATTCTAAAGCCTAAAACAATCCTAATCCCTAAGCTCTAAACCCCAAAACACCCCTAGACCCTAAACCCTAAAACCTAAGGCGATCCACACCCTAAACCCAAAATTATTCCAAAACCCTAAGACAATCCTAAACCCTAAACCGTAAACTCTAAAGCAGTCCCAGACCCTAAGCCCTAAAACAGACTGTTGACACTTAAGAAGAGTTTCTGTGCATTTCTCCTCGTTATCCAAAAAAGCCCAACAAAAAGCCACTCCTTTTTTGGGGTCCTGGGCAGCATGCCACCCTAAACCCTACACCCTGAACCCTAAACTCTGATTTGGTTAGGTGATCCGGAAACAGGGTCGCTAAGTGATCCTGTCCCAGAGCACAGTCCACGCCATCCGGTTGCTGCCGTGCCAGGAGAACCATTAGTGGAATGTGCGGAAATCCTGCACAACTTCTTGAGCAGCGGCTACAGGAAGTCGTGCCCTCGGCAAGAATCCTTGAGGGTTTCTTGGGTCTTGGACATTCGGAGTGTTGTCCATCCAGGAGGGTTTGGCGTGAGAGGATATGATCTTGATTGAAGGCTGGCCGCAAGCAACAAGCTGGAGACACACCTGCTGACGCTGTGGAGGACGATCCTGGGGGAAGCAAGCTGCAAGCAGTACCATGTCATAATTTGGGGAAAATGCACTCGGGGCATATGCTAATCAAGATCATGGGGGGTGCCTTAAAATAGGGGGATTGGGGGGGTAACCCCAGGGCGCACTATTTAGTGACCTATTTCCGGGGGGTCATGTGTGGCCAGAGAAACCAGAGCAGAATGAGACCAGGAAATAGGGTAGCCAGCAATGTGTTGAGTCATGCTGCGGTCCACCGTTTTGCTGGCTTGCCCTGAATTGTTACTCTCTATCCCCGAACCCTAAGGCCCGTAAGCTTTCGACCCTAAACGACATGCCCGCTTGCCTGCCCCCTCAGGCCTAGCCCCCCAAATACCACATCCACATCAGAAATAGTTCTGACCTATTTATCCCCCCGGAGGACTTCCGATGTCGCGTTGTGCGGCGGGCAGCAATGGCTTTCATTCTCCACCAGCAATCCTTTGAAATACAAGACAAAAATGATGGCACCTTGGCTCCGGCGTTGCATTCTTCCTAGGAGCTTTTTTTCCAAGACTTGCCTCACACACAATCATATTTCCACACTGTCTGTGGTTTACAGATGCGCCGTTGGAGGACCTGCAAATCCCGCACCGTTTGCTTTCCGACCTGGTGTTTGAAGCCCTTCTAATTGCAGACTTGCCGCTTCCACCCAAATTTGCCTATAAGTTTGCTACCTGAAGGCTTGCTGCTTGTAGGCCTGGTCGCTTGAGGCCTAGACAAACGCACGTAAGAACGCACGCACATGCACACATGCACAACACGCACACACACAAAACACACACACACACAAAACACACACTTGTCTTGGTTTGTAAAAGTCAGGAAATGGGAACTCTTTGAAGCTCAATTCAAAATTGCACACTTTAGAGGGTTTTCCGGCTCTGCCTCTGTGCTGTCCCTCAAGTCAATCAGGCTCACAACTGCACACACCGACATGTCCACAACTGCACATGCACAACTGATCATGGCCTGTAAACCTACTGCAAAACTAATCTTGCTGCCTCAGGGGGCCAGCTTTTCTTTAATCTTGCTGCCTCAGGGGGCCAGCTTGCAGGTACATGGAATTGATCAGACTCCACATCAGCTGTGGCATAGCCCTCTGCATTGGGCAATCAGCTATGCTCACAGGATTGCCCCCCTGCATGCCTCAAGGTTGCAACAAGCGTCTTGGTTGGGCGTGACCCCTTGCATCCATGTGCTAGGCTGAGTCACACACACATGTGTACGTACGTACATACACCCATGCGTGCATACCTACATGCATACATACATGCGTGCATGCATTCACACACACAGACATACAGATATACAGACGTACAAAGACATGCAGACAGACAGGCAGACGCATGGACGGACGTGCATGCACGCATGCATGCATGTGCATGCTTGCGCGCCAGCACGCATGCACGCATTCACGCGCACGCACGCAGGCACGCATGCGGTTGGAAGTTGTGCTCAAAGTTCGGGTCTCCGGACACAGGCAGACAGGACAGAGAGACATGACAGACAGATAGATAGACAGACAGACAGCCAGGCAGGCAGGCAGACAGATAGATAGATAGATCAATAGATAGATGAGTAGATAGAGTAGATGGATTGAAACATGGATCAATGGATGGATGGATGGATGGATGGATGGATGGATGGCTAAGTAGGTGGGTGGATGGATGAATGGATGGATGGACGGACGGACGGATGGATGGATAATTAGATGGATAAATAAATAAATAAATAGATAAACAGAGACAGAGATAGATAGATAGATAAATAGATAGAAAGAAAGGAAGCAAGCAAGGAAGCAAGGTTGGTTGATTGATTGATGGACAGATAGGTTGATAGATAGATTGATAGATTGATTGATGGATTGGTAGATTGATTTATGGATTGCTTGCTTGCTTGCTTGCTTGCTTGCTTGCACGCCTGTTAACTTGCAGACCTGCGCGCGTGCATACATGCACGCATGCATATCTCGCGCTTGTCGCCCCAGTTGGGCGCCCAAGGTGCTTCCCAAGGCTATGCGGCATCGTGCCCGAGGTGTTCCGCTAGACAATGACGGCGTTTGCTTATCCAGGCCGGCTCATCACCCCAGCAATGACCTGAGGGTGTTGTTCTGAATATTTGGCCGCCCTGCCAAAACACTTTGTTTATCCGGAATTTGGGCGTTGGGAGCTTCGGGCGGGGGGCTTGAATTTGGCTGATGGAACTATTCAGATGGAATATCTACGGCAAAAGCTGGCAGCTACGGCCATGGCACTGGCACTCGTGAAGGTCGATCGGGCCAGACCCTCAATGCCTTCAGGAGACCAGGAGCGCCCTTACCCAAGAATATGGTGCCCAGGACATCCAACACCGGCAGGTCTTGAAGATTCAAATCATCTTTTTTGTAGATGCTCTGGGTGTAAATGCGTTTCAGCACTCAAGGCAACAGGGTTGGGACTCAACTTCGGATGGTGCTCGCAAATGGCTATCGATCAGTCCTGTCGCCCGGTTGCCCTCAAAGACTGTAGGTACCATCGACAAAGGGGGACTGGCAGCTTTGCTCGCCAGCTCGCTGCTGTATACCCCACTTGTCACTTATGGCTTGATCCATGTGCATCTGCTTGTGCATACCTGAGGTGGAAATCCGTTCAATGATTTGAAAAAGCAGACTACCTTGACTTTTTCTTTTTCGACATGCACTGTTCTGACGCGGATTGCAACGTGGAATGACGTGGGGGCGTTTATCAACCATGGGATGGTTGTTTTGTGATGACACCCACGGTTTTTCAAATTTGATCAGTTGCAGAAGTCATTTCCCGCACAGTGGTTCCGTGATGCATTTGTCGGTTACACACTATGCCACCAAGTTTCCCAAACATTTCCAGTGATGTCATTGGTTGGCCTCATGATTTCATGCCCACCAAGGGGGTATCAACGTCATCTGCTTGTACATGCTGGTGCAGTCACCGCGACGAGCAAAATTAAATAGTTTGACATGCGTCCCAATTCCCGTCATAGCGAGGACTTGCAAACTAGGCCCCAAAAACAACGCGGACAAACCGTAGCTGGCCAGAAGATTTGTCCTCCTCGATATGGCCATTGTTGGCTTGCAGCTGCCAGGTCTTGGATCAAGACATCAGACGATACCCCGAGAAAATCATGACACTTTGGGTTCAGTTTTTGGTGACCATCCATTTGATTAGCGGGAATCAAAGGCTACTGTCTGGTTGGTGGTTTGCGTGCCATCTCAAAGTCTATCCAGTTTGTGGAAGATCTGTTTGTGGGTGTGACCAGCATGTTTTGGGTCGCAGGTGGCCAGCCGAAGCCGAGATTCTGTTCCCTCCCGGAACGGTCTTCGGCATCTCGGAGCAGTACAAAAGATCCGACGGCGTGTATGTGTTGGCCAACTCAGCGCTTCCTGCGCTGAAGCGCTTGTGCCTTGGTCTTGTACTCAGACATTTGAGTTGTTCGGCCAAGTTCGAGCGGCGCAAAGGGGGCAAACAAACAAAGTAACAGACGAACACGGAACGAAGAAAGAAAGTATCAAACAAACAAATCTACTTGCACCACCAAGCGGTGTGCAAATTCCCGTGCCCAAGAACCAAGGATATATGCTCTAGATTCTAGATATGGCCGAAATGAGCACGTAACACACAAAGGAAGAAAGGAAGGAGGAAAAGCAAGCAAATGAACACATGAAGAAACACACACATCTTCCAACCCCTCCTTCGTGCAAAGGCAGAATCCCACCTGGGCTGATATGATCCGGCAAGCCGCGCCACCGGGATGGCAACAAGATGAAGCCCTCAATTGGGTGGAGGAGCTCATCGTGCTGAAGGAGTGATCAGCTCCGTAGGCTTTGATCGTGTGGCTTTTGGAGACTCTGTAAAATAATTACTTTGGGACGTTCAAGCTTCAGGTTTTACTTAAGACACACAAATGACGGGCAGGTTTATGAGGTTTCTTGATCACACAGACCTCTCCAAGGCAACACGATCGTAAGTTTAGGTTTTTAGGCATGTGCCCTTTGTCAGGCGGCCTCTTATCACAGACGCTGATGAAAATCCAGAAAAGAGCATTCGCCGAGTGTGTGCCATCAAAGGCGAGGCTGCCTGAGGGCCCATTGCAGGGTCACGGCATGAGGGATGCCGTCCCGTCTAATTACGCTTTTAGGGATCGCCCGAAAACCGGGCATGAGGGTGAACGACGCCTGCAGTCCTTGCAAAGCACTTGGGATTTAAGCAACCCGAGATGTGCATGGAGGGCGAAACAACCTTGGAGTTTACGGTTTAGGGCTTACAGTTCACATGATGTTGCATAATGTATATAATATTGCTAATGGATGTTTATATAGGTATACATATGTACATGTATATATACACATAAATACATATATGCATATAGACATTTTTGTGTCATCATTTGTACGTAGTGAGAGAAATGCACATACATATGCAAATGGACGGCTCATATAACCTTATAGGAAGTTTAGCAAAGCCACTTGTCGCAGCCGCAGCACAGACACCATCCCCAAAACGCCGGAAAAACTTGTTCTAGCATGACGTATGTCTCTATGCACAAAATTGGGCAGTGTTCTCCAGGCTTTGGGCATGCCAGATTTCAGCCCTGGATGTCAAGCCTGAAATTCTGCTATGACCGCAGCCGCATCCTGAAAGACACATCTGGAAGCCCTTCGCCCGATATGCGGCTCTGGGCTTCCAGATTTCAAACATACAGTCTCAGTCAAATCTCTGAATCCCGCTCCGCTCTGTAGTGCGGCACCTGCTCGAGCCATTCCTGAGCAGGAGGGGTTACCGTGAGATTTACGTCTCCTGCAGACTGCCAAAGGTCACAAGGCTTCCAAGGCTTCTCCGCAGCAGCATGCACATTGGTGTCGCAAAGTTGTCGTGTTCAGATGTTAGACTGGTTCCCACATTGACAACTGCCTGTGCCATGGCCGTGTGCCAGACATAGAAAGGCAAGCAGGAGGTGTCTCGAGCTTCAGGCCGGCGGCGATGCCGGGAAGCAGGCTACCTGCAGCGGAGAAAGCAAAGATGGATCTTCCGCGGCTCTGGGCTTCCAGATTTCAAGCATACAGTCTCAGTCAAATCTCTGAATCCCGCTCCGCTCCGTAGTGCGGCACCTGCTCGAGCCATTCTTGAGCTGGTGATTTTTTAGCAGGGGTTACCGTGAGATTTACGTCTCCTGCAGACTGCCAAAGGTCACAAGGCTTCCAAGGCTTCTCCGCAGCTGCATGCACATTGGTGTCGCAAAGTTGTCGTGTTCAGATGTTAGCCTGGTTCCCACATTGACAACTGCCTGTGCCATGGCCGTGTGCCAGACATAGAAAGGCAAGCAGGAGGTGTCTCGAGCTTCAGGCCGGCGGCGATGCCGGGAAGCAGGCTACCTGCAGCGGAGAAAGCAAAGATGGATCTTCCGCGGCCTGCCCCAATGTTGGTGTTGTAGCTGTCGAACAACCAAGTCAGCAAGGCATGCATTAGTAGACTCTAGCTTAGGTCTGTGGTTGGACCATCGCCGGCACGCGGTCTTGGACAACCTGCCGGCACGGCTAGGCAGCTTGGACAGTTGGGTGAAAACAAGCCGCCGAGACAGCCAGTTTTTGTATTTGGAAAGGCTGGCGGCCGCGAATGTGGGGTCGAAGCCCGTGCAAAGAGCTCTGGACGCGCAGCGGCTTACCTCACATTTTAGCTGCTGAACATGTTGTGACCTTGCGGAGCAGGACGGTGTGCCGGTGCAGTTGTAAGCCCAGGTCCGTGCTTGGACCTCCACCGTCGCGTGGAGTCAAGCTGCCCACGAGTCCGGGGGTGAAGCAGCCTGCCTCAAGATGTGAGGGGGGCTCGAGAAAGGCGATGGAGGTGTCTCGAGCTTCAGGCCGGCGGCGATGCCGGGAAGGAGACTACCTGCAGCGGAGAAAGCAAAGATGGATCTTCCGCGGCCTGCCCCAATGTTGGTGTTGTAGCTGTCGAACAACCAAGTCAGCAAGGCATGCAGTAGTAGACTCTAGCTTAGGTCTGTGGTTGGACCATCGCCGGCACGTGGTCTTGGACAACCTGCCGGCACGGCTAGGCAGCTTGGACAGTTGGGTGAAAACAAGCCGCCGAGACAGCCAGTTTTTGTATTCGGAAAGGCTGGCGGCCGCGAATGTGGGGTCGAAGCCCGTGCAAAGAGCTCTGGACCCGCAGCGGCTTACCTCACACTTTAGCTGCTGAACATGTTGTGACCTTGCGGAGCAGGACGGTGTGCCGGTGCAGTTGTAAGCCCAGGTCCGTGCTTGGACCTCCACCGTCGCGTGGAGTCAAGCTGCCCACGAGTCCGCGGGTGAAGCAGCCTGCCTCAAGAAGAGAGAGGGGGCTCGAGAAAGGCGATGGAGGTGTCTCGAGCTTCAGGCCGGCGGCGATGCCGGGAAGGAGGCTACCTGCAGCGGAGAAAGCAAAGATGGATCTTCCGCGGCCTGCCCCAATGTTGGTGTTGTAGCTGTCGAACAACCAAGTCAGCAAGGCATGCGTTAGTAGACTCTAGCTTAGGTCTGTGGTTGGACCATCGCCGGCACGTGGTCTTGGACAACCTGCCGGCACGGCTAGGCAGCTTGGACAGTTGGGTGAAAACAAGCCGCCGAGACAGCCAGTTTTTGTATTTGGAAAGGCTGGCGGCCGCGAATGTGGGGTCGAAGCCCGTGCAAAGAGCTCTGGACGCGCAGCGGCTTACCTCACATTTTAGCTGCTGAACATGTTGTGACCTTGCGGAGCAGGACGGTGTGCCGGTGCAGTTGTAAGCCCAGGTCCGTGCTTGGACCTCCACCGTGGCGTGGAGTCAAGCTGCCCACGAGTCTGGGGGTGAAGCAGCCTGCCTCAAGATGTGAGGGGGGGCTCGAGAAAGGCGATGGAGGTGTCTCGAGCTTCAGGCCGGCGGCGATGCCGGGAAGGAGGCTACCTGCAGCGGAGAAAGCAAAGATGGATCTTCCGCGGCCTGCCCCAATGTTGGTGTTGTAGCTGTCGAACAACCAAGTCAGCAAGGCATGCATTAGTAGACTCTAGCTTAGGTCTGTGGTTGGACCATCGCCGGCACGTGGTCTTGGACAACCTGCCGGCACGGCTAGGCAGCTTGGACAGTTGGGTGAAAACAAGCCGCCGAGACAGCCAGTTTTTGTATTTGGAAAGGCTGGCGGCCGCGAATGTGGGGTCGAAGCCCGTGCAAAGAGCTTTGGACGCGCAGCGGCTTACCTCACATCTTAGCTGCTGAACATGTTGTGACCTTGCGGAGCAGGACGGTGTGCCGGTGCAGTTGTAAGCCCAGGTCCGTGCTTGGACCTCCACCGTCGCGTGGAGTCAAGCTGCCCACGAGTCCGGGGGTGAAGCAGCCTGCCTCAAGATGTGAGGGGGGGCTCGAGAAAGGCGATGGAGGTGTCTCGAGCTTCAGGCCGGCGGCGATGCCGGGAAGGAGACTACCTGCAGCGGAGAAAGCAAAGATTGATCTTCCGCGGCCTGCCCCAATGTTGGTGTTGTAGCTGTCGAACAACCAAGTCAGCAAGGCATGCGTTAGTAGACTCTAGCTTAGGTCTGTGGTTGGACCATCGCCGGCACGTGGTCTTGGACAACCTGCCGGCACGGCTAGGCAGCTTGGACAGTTGGGTGAAAACAAGCCGCCGAGACAGCCAGTTTTTGTATTTGGAAAGGCTGGCGGCCGCGGATGTGGGGTCGAAGCCCGTGCAAAGAGCTCTGGACGCGCAGCGGCTTACCTCACATTTTAGCTGCTGAACATGTTGTGACCTTGCGGAGCAGGACGGTGTGCCGGTGCAGTTGTAAGCCCAGGTCCGTGCTTGGACCTCCACCGTCGCGTGGAGTCAAGCTGCCCACGAGTCCGGGGGTGAAGCAGCCTGCCTCAAGATGTGAGGGGGGGCTCGAGAAAGGCGATGGAGGTGTCTCGAGCTTCAGGCCGGCGGCGATGCCGGGAAGGAGGCTACCTGCAGCGGAGAAAGCAAAGATGGATCTTCCGCGGCCTGCCCCAATGTTGGTGTTGTAGCTGTCGAACAACCAAGTCAGCAAGGCATGCATTAGTAGACTCTAGCTTAGGTCTGTGGTTGGACCATCGCCGGCACGCGGTCTTGGACAACCTGCCGGCACGGCTAGGCAGCTTGGACAGCTGGGTGAAAACAAGCCGCCGAGACAGCCAGTTTTTGTATTTGGAAAGGCTGGCGGCCGCGAATGTGGGGTCGAAGCCCGTGCAAAGAGCTCTGGACGCGCAGCGGCTTACCTCACATTTTAGCTGTTGAACATGTTGTGACCTTGCGGAGCAGGACGGTGTGCCGGTGCAGTTGTAAGCCCAGGTCCGTGCTTGGACCTCCACCGTCGCGTGGAGTCAAGCTGCCCACGAGTCCGGGGGTGAAGCAGCCTGCCTCAAGATGAGGGGGGAGGGGTGGCGAGAATTCCGCAGTCTCGAGCAATCCGCGCCGCAGTCTCGAGAATGCACTGCGCACAAATCACAAAACTATCTTGCAGCTATTGAACAATCTGCGCTGTGACACCTCGACAACTCACTATGCGTCTGTATGCATGTAGGAATCGCTTTAAATCTCGCATTTCTTATACCGCTCCTGTTGCTCATGCCTTCCTTGGTAGGCCTATTGTTTTGGTGTGATTTGCTTCAGGCCGGCAAATCCTGGCCGACAATCCGCGGAAATCAATGACAGACGGAGGCCCGCCTAGGTCACGGATGACATCCCGTGGGAGAACACAAATCCGACGCGCCGAATATCAGTCATTGTTTCGGGCATGGTGTTGTTCAAGGCTTTTCAAGGTACATGTGAAACTCAGCATCCGGTGCCCGAGATCCCACAAAGGTTAATGTTGGAATAGCCTCCAGAGTTCTGCGCGATGCTTGAAATTTCCTTTTTCGTTGAGGCAGCGGCAAACGTGTAGGGTCCACATGACACACCCAGGCCAACCTAGAAAAGCGCACAGATTATGGTGAACAGGTACATGAACCACAAATTCGCAGCTACTTTGTTAAACTTGCTTGTCATATGTCGCAGTAAAGCCTTCCGACATTGCGAAACCTGACTCTGTGGTTTGATCGTGCGGGCTGCAGTCTGGCTACAGTTCCTGTTGCAGATGCCTTGCGGTAGCCTTGGTGGATGTTTTTCTTTTTGCCGTTCGCTGCAGGCCATCAAGTCCTGGCCGAAAATCCGAGCGGGCCAATGACAGACGGAGCCCCGACTAAGTTGCGGATGAATGTCGTTGGCGTCACCTGGGAGGGATTGAACTCAAGCTCCCTTTGCCCCGGGGTGTAGTGCAGATTTGCCTTTGTCTAGGCTCGTCAAAATGCACGTGCCGAGTGCAAGGCGACTCTGCTGCAGATGCATTATTCAGCAGTGGTTGCAGCACAGCCATGTTGCCACGGAATTCTGTTGTTCCGTGATGAGGCCTTTTCAGGCAGATGTGCTTCAGAGGCACGAAGCAAATGGCCGCCTGGGTTTACAGTAGGCTATGGGAAGAATGTGGCATTTGATCTCTTGCAGGTTGTCTACTGCCTCGACAGCAGCTCCATGGAGTGACTGTGGAAATGATCTGGCATTCGGTGCAGACGTGATGGAGCGCAGTTGAAAAGCAACCTGACCGCCATAGTCCGCAGTTCTGGTCCACGGTGCATGTACTTAGGCAGGACTTTGCTCTACTACGTATCCTGGCTTCATGCTTGCGTTTTTACACGTGCCTTGGCAGCGCTTTGCTGGAAGTCGGAAGCGCTCTGTCTACAAGTCGCTTTGCAGCAAGCCAGGTGGCCGACGCCTGTGCTCTTCGGGCGTCTTGTTGTCACATGTCTCGCCGCGAGGACTCCAACAGGGTTTGTCTGATGTTGCTAAAATTGCAAGTTGCCAGTGCTTGGTGTCGTTCCCTGTTTTAGGGGCGGTGAGGATTTTGTCCTATACCTCCGCAAGGAAGCATCTCTCAAAAGGCAGGGCTATTGATTCTGTTTGAATGCGGTTCTGCGTTCCGCCACAGTTTCCGTTGCTTCCCGCCAGGCAAGACTTTCTGCTCAGTTTGCACTTGGTCTTCGTTTGCGCACGTTGAAAAAGGCACAGGGAGTTTGCGATGGCCACAGAAAGCAGGAAGATTTGAGCACTATAGCGTCATGCTGAGCCAAAAACCGAGGCACCAACCCTAAAGCCCGAGAGCTCCAACCAAGCCCCAGCCCTCGCAAACCCTAGAAGCCTTACGCGCCCCATGAGCACTGTAAGCTTTACAAGCCCTAGAAGCCACTATAAACCCTGAAGATTTCATGGCCCTACAGCCTCAAAGCCCTCAACCTTAAATCCAAATCGTGCATCTAAGCCGGATGGCTCGAAAAGGCTGCTGTGATACCATCTCGAGCTCAAGCATCTTTGGTTTCAGGGGTCGTCTACAGCATCTCGTGATTTTAATTGCCATCCAAAAATTCGAACGTTGGGAAGCTTACCTTCAACCGCCATGGACATCGACGCCTTCAACAGATGTTTCCATGGAGGCGCTTGGTTCCTGCGCGTCCGAAGCATATCTGGGGACGATTTGAATGTTCAATTTGCTGCGAGGCTCCTCGAGCCCCTAAGTTGTTTTCCAAACTGTGTCTTATTGTGATTTTGTGATCTGGAGACTCAGTGCGGATGACGGGCCGCTTCACTGGTACCAGATTCCCGCTCCTTTACAGGGTCCCTTATCACGGAAACCCTAAAACCATCTAAAGCTTAAACCCTCAAAAAATCCGCGTTTTTGGAAGGTACACGCCGGCTCCCGATGCCGATCCCAGCTGTTTCCCACCCAGAAACTTCTTCGAAGAGCTGGTCCCAACACAGCCGCTTGGACTTTAGGGTTTAGATTAGCTGAAGCCCTCTAATCCCCTCCCCTACTGTTAAATTGTTGAATACCCCCACCCCTCATATAAAAAAGTACCCCCAATATACACCATTCTGGGAATATGAGACCCCGCAGGCCCACATGCAGGGGTTGACCTCATATTTGCGTCAACAAGTAGGCAGCGATAATAGTGGAATTGGTTGTTTTTGTGCTTGATTCCTGGTTGGTGTGTCGCAGCAAACTAAAAGGCCCCGCAGGCCCACATGCAGGGGTTGACCTCATATGTGCATCAAGAAGCAGGCAGCGAAAATAGTGTCCTGGTTGATGAAGCATACCCTCAACCCCAAACCCTAAACCCTGACACCATGGCACACGCGAGCAACCAAAGCCCAAATAGTTGGCTTGACCACGTTGCTGGGATGCTGAGCTGCGTATCTCTTGGAAAGGATGGCACAATCTGCACGTCCATGTCTCGATTCAGGTTGTTTCCCATGGCAAGAACAACCCTGCGACGGAGGGGAAGGACTGTCACAGGTCAGTCTTGCTTTTAGCCTGGTGGAGAATATGGGGAATGTGAGGACTCTTTGGGAGATAGCCCCCTGTCCCATCAGGCAGTCTTGGAGTTGCAGACACGACTTTTCAATCACAAGGTGGGCATGTTCGCAGTCTGGCAACATTCTCGAAAACAGCGGTAGACGGTCGCTGACTGAAGTGAGCATGGCCATGGCAGCATTTGTTTGGCAGTAGATTTGGTGTCATAGAGGGCTGATCATGTCGCGGCGCACGCAGAAGAAAATGTACACAACTTGTTTGCCGACTTCTACGACCTGGTGACAACTTCAAGTTGGGTTTCTTTGCTTTGCGGATTCAGCGTTGTCCTGGCGCAGGTCATTGATGTTCAGATGCTTCGGGCTACAACATCGACACAAGCTCGATGTGTGGTCTTTGTGGGATCCCCGGGCTGACTGCAGATTGGCCAGCTGACATCAGCGAGTTTCATGGTCATGCGGCTGGAATCGTATTGCCACAGTTCGGAGTGACAGCCACATAATCGGGGCAGGCCGACAAGTGAGCGGCAGAGGTAAGAAGATGCATGCTGAACCATTGCATGCATTCACACATTCAGGCCAACACTTCTCCTCCTGGCCGAACCTTTTTCAACAATGCTCGTCTCTTGCTCAGCTACAGGGCCACGTGAATTTTTCTAGATGACTTTAGATGGCCTTAGATGGTCTCAGATGGCTTGTGTCTTGACGCACGGACAGGGACAGGTATGGTCCGCTGTGCCAATCACCCGGAAAGCCACAGGACTTCCTTTCATGAAACTGGACCGTTCGATCCTTCAGCCGCAGTGGTCTTGCGATTTCAAGACGGTTTTCGAAGTTCGACTTCCCGATGATGTGGCCAAGCACCGAGCACGCCAGACAATTTGTTCTAACTGGTTAATTTGGGCAGTGCTCAAGCCTGTCGGTGTGCAGCGCAGGTCCCACTTTCGGAGAACACACCTCTGCGAGGGTCCAAGGGTTGAACTCTACAGCACGTAGCACTTAGATGCCGGAGATGAGCCAGTTTGCAATCTGGGCAATAGACCACGCCTCAGACAGTTAAGAGCTTTCTGTCTTCTGTGAACAGTGCATGTTCTTACCAAGCGTGTGCGATCCAGCCTAGCATTAGGATGGCAGCAGAATGCAGCTTCATCGAACTGACAAGATGTTTACAGCAGGAGTCTCAGGTGTTTAAGCCTGAGGCTGTGACGTGTGCATTTCGCAGATCTCACCTGAACCCTGGCGATTGGTACAGGACTGCTCGTGGCTAAGTCTGTTATGGCATTTCGAAGCTTCCGAAATTTGAGGCTAACTGTGCCAATTCTGCCTCTTCTGTGGCTCCTGGGCAACTTGCCGGCAGTGGAGTAGTGGAGTCCAGTGAACCTTGCCGCTAGAGGCCTGGGTCTAGGCAAGCTTTGCAGGTGTTTATAATATAGTATATATCTATATAACTTAATAGGTATTTTTCATAAGTAAATAAATATAAATATAAATATAAATATATATATATATATATATATATATATATATATATATATATTGCTATATTGAATATTATACATTATAATTTTGGGGGTTGAGAGCGGCGCCGGATCCGCGGATCCAAAGCAGAAAAGCTCGGAAACCCGTCGCATTAGCCTGCGACTGAGCCCACCAAATGCTCTGAACAATGCAAAACGTTAAGGCCGAAGCTCTTCGCCTGCAAGACCCCTGCCAGAGTTTCTCCAGGTGCAACAGGCTTGAACAGGCTTTTGCATTCGGACCAGCGCTGAGCTGCAGCATGTGGAGGCACGCAGCTGGAGAGATGGGTTGGTTGCCTGTACGAGTGGCTCCTTGGCAGATTTGGTAGTTTCTACTACTACTTCGAAAAACAGTCGCAAACAAATCCAGAACAATGCAACGCAATGGCATAAGAGAACAACAACAGAGAGGTTCTGAATGGATAGCTACAAACATCACATCCCAAACGCGCTTTTGAAACGAGACCAAGCTCGGAAGGCCCTTTTAGGGGGTCCCAAAACGGGTTTAAAGGGGGCAACAAAGGGGGCCCAAACAAGGCCCAAAGAGGTTGGCAGGGAGTGGCCTCCCAAAATCGACTCCATTCAACGTTTTCAACCAGATACTGAAAGATTCGAGTTCGGCTTGGTAAACGCAAGGTTTCTGTTTTCAACTTTTTTGGGGGGAATGCAAAACTGAAAGTCCAAGAATATCCGTTTCGAGTCGTTTTTTCGAGAACCCCCACTCCTCCCTTTCTTCCTTTCCCACTCCCCTCTCCTTTCCTCCCTCACCATCCTCTATTACAGCATTTCTAGCAGCTTCACTGGAGCTTGGGCATTTGTTAACTTCTGTGTGTCTCATGCAGTTCCATCAGCGTGCCATCTGACATCAAGGGGCCCTTGCGTTTGAGCACACACGCAGCGGGCACCGCACAGATGCTTTCAGGAAGAGCTATACACTCCAGTCAGGGTTTGCAATCGCAGGTGGGGTCATGAGATGTACGAAGCCAGTGACAGCTGGTATGGCAGCCAAGAGCAGATTCTGAAGCTTCAGGGCGGCCATTTTCCACGAAGGCTCGCTGGACAAGTGCTTCATCTTCTGCAGGTGAGGGTGGTGAGGGTGTGTGTGTGTGTGTGTGTGTGTGCTGGCGGCTGAATTTCAAAGTACCGCTTGTGTGATCGAGTGCAGTCGAAGCATTATGAACATAACACCCAAGCATCCATTGTTTCAGTGCATGCTGCGTTCATTGACGTTAAGATGCACAAAGTGCTTAGATCGACAGGAGCCGCAAGGCTGTCATCAAGCTCAAAGACATGCTTTGCAGAGAAGAGATGGTCTGGAGGCAGAGCTTCTGCCTCGCCACTCGGCAGAACAGCCTTAATGAAAGCTTCAAGCTAAACCACCTTCTACATTGTGCATGGAACAGCATGAACATTCTCGATGCCAATGAACAGGTCCGAGAGTTGCACAGCGACGTGCAGCAGTGCGACCGTGATTGGGCAGAGGTCTCAGAAGTGAATCATGATGTTTTCCTAGCGAAGCTGCGAAGTCAACCAGGCTCTCATGGAGCGCTTTTGGTTTTATCTGTTTCACTGGAGCCTCTATACGGATGCAGCGTAGGAAACGACCAGCCATGGGGCGCTTTCAAGTCATTGATTGAACAGCGTTGGCATTGCTCGATGATAGTGCAACAGTGCGCTGCTGCCCAGACCATTCAACAGTTCCGCGACGGACCGCTGTCAGGAGCTGAGGTTTAGAACATGAGATTTTGAGACCGTGTTCGCTCCACCTTTTGTTTTCAAGGTTGCAGTTCCTGCGAAGGCCCCTAGTCACGGTCGTAGACGGTATGCTGGCTTGTCCAGCCGATCGATGAAGCCTGCGGATGAAGCCAGTTGATCCCCGCACATCGCGAGCCAGATCCAAGCATCGGATACTGAGACCTCACTGTCCTGATCGTTGAATGCATGAATGTCGATCTCAGTCTTGTCCGCGTGCTCGTCTTAATGCTAGGCCCTGCGTCGTGGCAACCGACGCGCTGGCACGTGGCCTTGATATTCCTCAGGCCGCCGGCACGACAACCGGCAGCCTGACAACATGAGTCACAGCCACAAGGACAGCGTGTCACCACTCATTTGCTGCCAGGTGAGGCTCGTCATAAACTTCGACATGCCGCTGACGCCAGCAGACTACGTCCGTAGGGTCGGACAAGATAGATTGCTATCAGCATGTGCACCTGAAGCCACTGCCAGATGAAGCCAGACAGCGGCAGGTAGGGCGGACCGGACGCGCGGGGCATATCGGCTACGCGATGACTTTTGTGAACCGTGCGAATCGGCAGGAGATCTCTGGGCAGAGGGCGTCCTGGGATTTCGGGGGATCTTAGGGGCATCGGTCTGTGCCCATGGCACAGAGCCAGCTCTTGAGCTCAACCACTTCGTCCATGCAGGAGCTGCAGTGGGCCCACAAGCATCTCCTACGACTGCTCAAGGCCACGAATCAAAACGTTGACGAGACGCTGCAGCTGCAGGCCTCGACACGAGATTCCCTTGCTCATCGCAACTTTCCCCGCTGCCGAGTTTGCAGGTGGCCATCGACGCAAACCTGAAGGCAGCAGGGGTCTCAGTGCGATCGTTTCCGGTTGTCGCGGTTCAGGAAGGTTTCCTTTTCGGCTCTGTTGGCTAGGTCCGTCGAGCGCTCCACTACCACGACATGACACAGGCCACAGTGCATGAGTTGAAGCATGCCGCTGGCCTAAATCCAAGTCCTCGATCCCGACAAGCCCCGAAGCCAAAACAACCGCATCGAGTCCAGGGTCTAGGGGGGCGGAAAGCCGTCTAGGCGTGATGGTGTTTTGGGTTCACTGTAGAACGCTTGCGGGGTTTGGCTTTTTTCGAGAGCCTTGTGACAAGAACCTGGAGATGCAGGAAGCAAGTGTTTGGAGAGCAGACAGTCGTCTAGTCTCGGAAAGGTCTAAAGGGGGCTTTTTCCCGAAGGTCCTTTGGCGAAGCGGGAGATTGTTGCACGGGTGGGCCATCCATGCTATCTCACCACTATGTTCAGCAAACGGTTGTTCTTGGGACGATCTCTCTTTCTGCTCCTGCGAGTGCACATCAGTCAAAGAAACGAAGCTTCTCCTTTGTGGAAAGCTGGAGCCCGCTCGAAACAATGACACCGCTTGCACGGGAGGGGATGGCTTCGAAGCCAGAGAGCTTGTTGACAAAACATGGGCTGGTAAGCCGGACAGCAAGAACCCACGAACAGCAGTAGCGTCTGGTGAGCAAAGTTTCCTGCTGCATCGCCACGAGTTTGTGCAATCATGCTGGCATTGCAGCAGCTTTCAGCCAGAGTCGGTAACAGACAGTCCGCGAGTAGCATGTCGATACGATTCCCAGTAGAGTTTGTCCGAACGAGTGTTAGCTCTTGACGGTAGGGAAATTGATTGAGCTGTTTCATGCTGCTTATGGTCATTAAGGCAGAACATTGATGCAGTCTGGCCTCGTCAATTTAGCAATGAGCGGCAGCTCAGACATTGCCTTTCATGGGAAACGCATCACAAACGTTGCGATGCATTTACAAATCACCGCATTTTCCCGCAAAATGTGCCGAAGATTACAAACTGAGCTTTACAATTCCCCGCAAATCCCCGCATTTTACCGCAAAACGGCTTCGCGTTTTGCAGGAATTTATAAATCCCCGCATTTTCCCGCAAAATGCCCAGGACATCTTTTGCAGCAAAACACATCCCCTGATGCATTGATCGTTTGCAGGTACCGCGAGCACCGAATTGTCCAAACTTTTGCAACAGGATATTCATTTACAGCCATCCCCAATCTTCGTATTGTTGCTCAGTACTCTATACCGATAAGTGTTTCTTTTCTTCGCTGAGTTGCTTTCTGAATCCCGAAGCATTTGATATTCGTCACATTGAGATTCACACGGGTTTCTTCCTTCCTGGCCACCCGTGGCCGCTATGCTCTTGTCACGCTTGGCCGGGCGGTCGGACGCACTGGCAATCTTCTGTCCCAAGTCCCTGAGCCGTCCTGCAGTGTTGCCATTGTTCAGCCCAAGAGCAGCCTTGTCCCAGCATTTGTGTTTCAACGCCAGTTGCATGATTGAGTATTTGCAAAGCATCCCCCTTGAGCTGCTACTTCGATCGGCTTGACCTTGTGCTGGTAGATGTCCGATTCCACCAACCCTATTGTAGTTGTCGGGCAGCCTGAATCCCGAAAAGGCCCCCTTTGATAAAAGCCCCCTTTGGCTTTTGCCGATAGTCTAGGCTCAAAAAATGTGGTTTGGAGCCACGGGATCCTGAGCTTCTCTTCGGAGCGTTTCGCAGCTAGGAGACTCACTTGTTTCCGGGACAAGTGGACTTGTGAAGTTGTGACGTAAAGCACCACAGACAAGCAAGGAGAAGTGCAAGCCCACGGCGACCACGGCGAAGCACGCTCTACAGCTCGGCTGGTTCAGAATGCATGAGATGCTCGCGAACCGCCTCAAGGATAACGACAGACAGAAGATTCACAGCGCACTCCAGGAGACCCTGGAATGGCTGGAAAGGAACCAGCTTGCTGAGAAGGACGAGTTCGAGGCGAAGCTGATTGAGCTGGAGGGCATCATGGACCTCATCATGTTGACGCCCTTCCAATAGGACGGTGGTAGCATGCCCGATGGTGGCATCCCTGGTGCGGCATAGGCCCGGCGTTGCCAGCGCGGCCCGGCGGCCCGACCGTTGAGGAGGTTGACCAAGCCTTTGAGGCCTCATGCATGGTGCAAAGCAGGCGCTCGTGCGCAATCTCCGCTAGCCTGCGCAATCTGAAGTGCTTACGAGGCTTCACTCCGGCGCTGTCACAGTGCAGGCCGAAAAAGTGGAACTCGCAAAGCTCGGGTGCGCGAAGGTCACAGTCACAGCATCGGCTGGTTGATTGACAGCTTTGCAACTGCATCTGGCTCAGCCTTGCGCATCTTCTGAGCGATCGGATTTGCAGGTCATCGGGCTGAAAGTTGCTTCTTCAGCTGCAGTTCTTTCAACCGCGGTAGATCGCAGCAGTGGGTTCTAGAAGGCAGGCACAAGACATTGAGAAGTCTGCTCGTGTTCGCGAGCCATGGTGGGTTTCCAAGAAGGGTCCGGCGAGGCGTGGCTTTTCATCGGTGCATGCGCTACTGCGCTACTGCAGCTCTCAGCCGTTTGTTCGAGTACATCCCGAATCTGGGACTTAGAACTTGGATCAGTGCGGATCTTGAGCAATCGCACCAATTCCTAGTCCTGCCAGGGCGCCGTGCGGTACCTGCAGCAGGATGTCCAAGTCGCCCTGCTCTGGAACCAGCCGCTGG